CACCCCCTGCTGCCCAGCCCCGGGGTATGAGTCCTAAGACCCAGTTCTAAATGGGACTTGTGCCATAAGCACGCCAGCTATTGTCTAGTACAGAGGCTTACTTCTCCCCCTGCCTGTGATCCTGACTGGAGCAGGTACTGGGGTCCCCAGGTTTTATGGCTAGCAAATACTGCTGCGTGTACAGCACCGGACACCCAGAGCCTTTATTTTTACACAGAACAGGCGCAGTGTGGGTCAGCCTTCCACACAGACCCACCCCTGCATCTCAACCCTGCTTGGAGGGCGCTCTTTCAGGGGCAACTTCGGAGCTCAGCCTCCCTGGCCCACTCATTCCCTTGCCTCTCTGAAGAGGGCCAGTCAGTGGCGGATATTTCATGCAGCTCTATTACGTTCTGCTCAGAGTTCACCAGGTCACTTCCCAAAGTGCTACCACATACTATAGCTAGCAGAGAATACCAATGACCCAGGGTCACTGGTATACTCAGGGCTGACCCTAAAGAAAATGGCGCCCTGGGTCCACTTGTATTTTGGTACCCCTGGACTCCACTGCCTCCCTCTTGCCTCCCCACCATCACCCCTGTCCTCCACTGCCTCTCCAGGCTCCCACCCATCCCCCCATCAACCCTGGACCACACTGCCTCCCTGGGCGCCCGCCCCCCCCGCACAATCATCCCCCAGCTCCGCTGCCTCTTCCTCCCTCCATTGCCCCGAGCTCCCTTCTGTGACCTCTCACCCGAGGCCCGCCTTGCTCTTTGCCTTTTGCGCATGGTGCCCCTCTGACCACGGCGCCCTGGGTGGTCTCTCCAGTCACCCACCCATAAGGCCAGCCCTGGGTGCACTGGCCATGGACCTAAAATTAAAGGTTCTCTCTCATCACCCTTCCCCTGAACCATCAAATCTCCCAGACAAGGTGGCTGGACCAAGGTGTGAACTATGCCAGTTTAGACTCAAAAAGAAAAGGAGTACTTGTGGCACCTTAGAGACTAACCAATTTATTTGAGCATGAGCTTTCGTGAGCTACAGCTCATTTCATCGGATGCATTCAGTGGAAAATACAGTGGGGATAGATTTCCACTCCATACGGCTAAATTCAGTGCCTTGCATAATGACAGGTTTCAGAGTAGCAGCCGTGTTAGTCTGTATCCACAAAAAGAAAAGGAGTACTTGTGGCACCTTAGAGACTAACCAATTTATTTGAGCATAAGCTTTCGTGAGCTACAGCTCACTTCATCGGATGCGTGAGCTGGGCCCCAATTTCAGCCATCAGTGGCCTGCCCCAGGAGAAGCTCCAGCTGTGGAAACCTTTAGAATAGACAAGCTAAACCACTGTCAGCCATGACCGACTTGGGAACAGTGCTCACCGCAGTTTATACCAGTGCCGCCAGTTTCATTTCAGTGAAAGAAATGTGCAAGGTAGATTGCCCCAGCTCTCGCTACAGCTTCCCTAAAGTGGGTCAGCAAAGTGCAAAAAGTGACCACAGTGGAGATTCTGAGTCAGAAAATATTTATTTCCTCTTGCTTGCTCCCATACAGAATTTCCAAGCTGCATTTAACCATGGGGGAAAACCAGAAAAGGAAGTCACTCATCACAGTGTTTCAGAGTAGCAGCCGTGTTAGTCTGTATCTGCAAAAAGAAAAGGAGGACTTGTGGCACCTTAGAGACGAACCAATTTGTTAGTCGCTAAGGTGCCACAAGTACTCCTTTTCTTTTTACTCATCACAATCTATCTGAGCTGCAGTGAGTGAATATCCGCTAAGTGGAAGTTTGGTTAGAAAAAGGCCAAACAGATACTGGGATGTGATCACAGTATTTCTGAAGGAGCCGTAAGCAAAGCCACCAACATGTACAATCCAACCACACAGCTCCCCATCTAGCCAGCGGCCCAGAGCTTGAACTATATTTCAAAGCATTTTATAGAGGTCTCAAAGCGAGATCCCCATTGACCTTAATGAAAGTGGCACTAAATTATCCAGGTGGTAATTTAATAATTCAGGGGATAATGTTTGGCACGTCCAGCCATGTTTCTGATGAATGTAACAAAACATCTTCATCTGAATATCTACAGGGGTATTTATTATCATATTTCACTCATACACAGCACATGGTGACCCGGCTAATCTGCACTTCCCATTGAGTTCATATAGCAGAGGGAAGTCTAAAAATCCAAAGTATGGTGGGTTCACACTTAATAAAACACCAAAGGGTAGTGTTAGGGTTCCTTCCCCACTCTGAACTCTAGGGTATAGATGTGGGGACTCGCATGAAAGACCCCCTAAGCTTATTCTTACCAGCTTTGGTTAAAAACTTCCCCAGAGTACAAACTTTGCCTTGTCCTTGAGCAGTATGCTGCCACCACCAAGCGTTTTAAACAAAGAACGGGGAAAGAGCCCACTTGGAGATGTCTTCCCCCCAAAATATCCCCCCAAGCCCTACACACCCCCTTTCCTGGGGAGGCTTGAGAATAATATCTAACCAATTTGTTACAAAATCATCAAAGACCCAAACCCCTGGATCTTGGAACAATGGAAAAATCAGTCAGGTTCTTAAAAGAAGGGTTTTGTTAAAAAAAAAGAAAGGTAAAAATCATCTCTGTAAAATCAGGATGGAAAATACTTTACAGGGTATTCAGATTCAAAACACAGAGGATCCCCCTCTGGGCAAAACCTTAAAGTTACAGAAAACAGAAATAAACCTCCCTCTGAACACAGGGAAAATTCACATAAACCAAAAGATAAACTAATCGGCCTTGCCTGGCTTACCTCTACTGGTTGCAATATTGGAGACTTGGATTAGGATGGGTTGGAGAAGATGGATTTCTGTCTGGCCTCTCTCAGTCCCAAGAGAGAACAACCACGTAAACAAAGAGCACAAACAAAAGCCTTCCCCCCACCCAAGATTTGAAAGTATCTTGTCCCCTTATTGGTCCTTTGGGTCAGGTGCCAGCCAGGTTAGCTGAGCTTCTTAACCCTTTACAGGTAACAGGATGTTGCCTCTGGCCAGGAGGGATTTTATAGCGCTGTATGCAGAAAGGTGGTTACCTTTCCCTTTATATTTATGACAGGTAGGTTAAGAAACAGTTTAACATTTTTAGCAATTACTTAGAAGAAAACATAAAAGCATCACTGAAAATTTGCAGATGACACAAAAATTGGGAAAGTGGTATATAACGAAGAGGACAGGTCACTGATACAGAGCGATCTGGATTGCTTGGTAAACTGGGCACAACTAAACAATATGTGTTTTAATACGACTAAATGGATACATCTGGGAACAAAGAAGGCAGGCCATATTGACATGACAGGGGACTCTACCCTAGGAAGCAGGGCCGCTGAAACAGATTTGGGGGGCACGGTGGGTCATCAGCTGAACATGAGCTCCCAGTGCAACGCTGTAGCCGAAAGAGCTCCTGTGATCCTGAGATGCACAAACAGGGGAATCTCGAGCAGGAGCAGGGAGGTGATTTTCCTTCTATATCTGGCACTGCTGCGACCACAGCTGGAATCCTGTGTCCAGTTCTGGTGCCCACAGTTCAAGGATGTTGGTAAATGGGAGAGAGATCAAAGAAGAGCCACAAGAATGATTAAAGGATAAGAAAACCTGCATTACAGTGAGACACTCAAAGAGCTCCATCTATTTAGCTTAACAAAGAGAAGGGGTGGTTGATCAAAGTCTATAAGTATCTACAGGGGGAACAAGTATTTAATAATGGGCTCTTCAGTCTAGCAGAGGAAGGTCTAACAAGAGCCAATGGCTGGAAGTTGAAGCTAAATAAATTCAGACTGGAAATCAGATGTACCTTTTTAATAGTGAGAGTAATTAACCATGGGAACAATTTACCCAAGATCATGATGGATTCTCCATCACCGGCAATTTTTAAATCCATATGGGATGTTTTTTTCTAACAGCTGTGCTCCAGGGATTATTGTGGACAGTTGTCTGGCTTGTGTGTCTCACAATGGTCCCTTCTGGCCTTGGAATCTGGGAATCTATGTGAGGGAGTGTAAATCCAGTGAGAGATGTCTAAGGACCCAGTCCAGCTAACACCTTAATCTTGCCTCTGCTGCTTCCTACTGCGAGGAGTTCTGCTGACTGCAGACTGCAATGAGCATGCAATGAGTAGCCAGCAGCACACCCCGGAGTAAAGTGCCTGCAGAAACAGGCCTGTACCCATAGCATCCAAGCACTATAAGGTGTCTCGTGGGATCTGGGAGCTTTCTAAGGAGATCAGAACCTGCACCATGGCCCTGAGTCAGGAAAGCACATGAGCCGCACTAATTTGAAGCATGTGTTTAAGTGCTGTATTGCCCACAGCTGCTTTCCTGCCCTGGATCCCATGCAAGGGGTGCTAGGGGACCACCAGAGTATGCAGGGCTGCAGAATGCCGGACGGTGGGTATTCTCCAGCGGGGTGCCCTTGTGAGTCCCTGTGCTGATGGCAGATCATAGAATCATAGAATATCAGGGTTGGAAGGGACCTCAGGAGGTCATCTAGTCCAACCCCCTGCTCAAAAGCAGGACCCATCCCCAATTAAATCATCCCAGCCAGGGCTTTGTCAAGCCTGACCTTAAAAACTTCTAAGGAAGGAGATTCCACCACCTCCCTAGGCAACGCATTCCAGTGTTTCACCACCCTCCTAGTGAAAAAGTTTTTCCTAATATCCAAGCTAAACCTCCCTCACTGCAACTTGAGACCAGTACTCCTTGTCCTGTCCTCTTCCACCCTGAGATCATAGTCATAGAACCATCCTCTCTGGAACCTCTAAGGTAGTTGAAAGCAGCACCCCCCTCACTTCTCTCCGAAGGCTAAACAATCCCAGTTCCCTCAACCTCTCCTCATAACTCATGTGTTCCAGACCCCTAATATTTTTCCCAGTTCTCGAAATCACATCCTTCTTTAGCCAGGGCCCAAAACTAATTGTCAAGGGCCTCACCATGTCGAAAAGGGGGGGACCCCCCTCACCTGCTCCTATGCCCCTACTTATACCTCTCAAGGAAGGCCATTGGCCTTCTTGGCAACAAGGGCACACTGCTGACTCATATCCAGCTTCTCGTCCACTGTCACCCCTAGGTCCTTTTCCGCAGAACTGCTGCCTAGCCATTCGGTCCCTAGTCTGTAGCTGTGCATTGGGTTCTTCCGTCCTAAGTGCAGGACCCTGCACTTATCCTTATTGAACCTCATCAGATTTCTTTTGGCCCAATCCTCCAATTTGTCTAGGTCCCTCTGTATCCTATCCCTGCCCTCCAGTGTATCTACCACTCCTCCCAGTTTAGTATCATCCGCAAATTTGCTGAGAGTGCAATCCACACCATCCTCCAGATCATTTATGAAGATATTGAACAAAACCGGCCCCAGGACCGACCCCTGGGGCACTCCACTTGACACCGGCTGCCAACTAGACATGGAGCCATTGATCACTACCCGTTGAGCCCGACAATCTAGCCAACTTTCTACCCACAGATCTAAGAGGGTCAGTGTCTGAACATGTTGCGTGCTCCGTTAATGGTTCTGCAGCATTTCCATGGGGCCACATGCTACGTGGGACCATATTTGTTAGTGCAATGCCCAATCCTATGTGAAACCATGTGACTGGGTCATGGGACCCTTGACGGTTGGCCCCAATGCAGGGGCTGGAGCTCCTTTTGGGATGGCTAGTGGGTACCCAGTGATGCTGGAACAGAGATTCCGAGAGTGGGGGCTCATCCTGCCCTGCTCTGCTCTGCTCTGAGTTTGCTGGCTGTGACCTTTTGCAGGATCTTTAACAGCAAAAGCTTTGCTCCCAACTGTGTGTTGAGTATTTTTGTTAACTGGAAGTTAATAAAAAACAAGATAATAAAAGCCAGCCTGGCTAAATATCCCATCCCCTCTCAGCTGCTCAGGATTTGCTTCCTTGGTGTGGGTGATGTCATAATGCCATGAGTTCCAGAGTCACCAGAGAGTCTCCCAGGAAAAGGAGAGTAGACAATACTTTAATTTCCAGCACTAAAAAGAAAAAGGCAATATTGTCTGGGGTGTGCAGGGGAACCTCTGCAGCCTTCTTCCCATCGCAGGCAGCTATTGGGTCAGAATCCTTTTGAAATAGAACTCAGTGATCTCTGTCTCGCCTGGGTGGTTGGTGATGCGGATGGGCTCGCTGCTCTTCTGGGAGGTGCAGAGAAACCAGCCCGGGTAGGTGGCTGACTCGAAGCGGTGGGTGCTGCCTTCGGGAATGTTGTGGAAAGTGAAGCGAGCGGCTTGCTCCTTGTCTTCAAACAATTCCATTATTTTCTTATCCTGAGCGGGGAACAGAAAGGAAGATGCCGTTGCAGGAAGCTGGATTATTTCCTGGGAACAACATTCCCTGGGCGTTTAGCCCTTAGTTCTGCTCGCACATCGGTGAGCTGACTGATCAGGAGTTCTGCAAGCGTCTCTGTTATTCCTAACCAGCCTCAGGACCAGCTAGGATAACAGTTATCAGCCTATTGGTTATTTGTGCATGGTCACTGTCGGCAATTGGTCACCAAAGTCACACGCTACTGATCCTGCTCGCTGATTGGCTGAATGTAGTTTTATAAACAGGGGACTAAGAAATCGTGAATATCCCTGTTGGCAGGTGACAATGGATGGTTATCTATCCCTTCCCCAAACATTTATGGGAACATAAGCCCACTAGTAGCAAGGGCTTACCCGCCTCTGGCTTTGGGCCTGTCTGCTGCCTCGGTTTCCCTTTCCTCCCCGTCAAGGTTCCTCCCCCACTCTGAACTCTAGGGTACAGATGTGGGGACCTGCATGAAAAAACCTCCTAAGCTTATCTTTACCAGCTTAGGTCAAAACTTCCCCAAGGTACAAAATATTCCCCCCGTTGTCCTTGGACTGGCCGCTACCACCACCAAACTAATACTGGTTACTGGGGAAGAGCTGTTTGGACGCGTCTTTCCCCCCAAAATACTTCCCAAAACCTTGCACCCCACTTCCTGGACAAGGTTTGGTAAAAAGCCTCACCAATTTGCCTAGGTGACTACAAACCCAGACCCTTGGATCTTAAGAACAATGAACAATCCTCCCAACACTTGCACCCCCCCTTTTCTGGGAAATGTTGGATAAAAAGCCTCACCAATTTGCATAGGTGACCACAGACCCAAACCCTTGGATCTGAGAACAATGAAAAAGCATTCAGTTTTTTACAAGAAGACTTTAATAAAAAATAGAAGTAAATAGAAATAAAGAAATCCCCCTGTAAAATCAGGATGGTAGATATCTTACAGGGTAATTAGATTCAAAAACATAGAGAACCCTTCTAGGCAAAAACCTTAAGTTACAAAAAAGATACATAGACAGAAATAGTTATTCTATTCAGCACAATTCTTTTCTCAGCCATTTAAAGAAATCATAATCTAACACATACCTAGCTAGATTACTTACTAAAAGTTCTAAGACTCCATTCCTGTTCTGTCCCTGGCAAAAGCAGCATACAGACAGACACAGACCCCTTGTTTCTCTCCCTCCTCCCAGCTTTTGAAAGTATCTTGTCTCCTCATTGGTCATTTTGGTCAGGTGCCAGCGAGGTTACCTTTAGCTTCTTAACCCTTTACAGGTGAGAGGAGCTTTCCCCTGACCAGGAGGGATTTCAAAGGGGTTTACCCTTCCCTTTATATTTATGACATCCCCAAAAAGAAAAGGAGTACTTGTGGCACCTTAGAGACTAACCAATTTATTTGACTGAACTTCATGCTGCCAGTGTTTTCTCAATAACTCTCCCCTTCCGGGAGCCTGGTTTATTAGCACAAAGTTCTAAACACACAGATCTTCCCTGAGCCTTCCTAGGGGGCTCACCGCCTCGGGTCCAGGCTCTGAGTCCACTCCCTGCTGAGCCATCCTTCCTAGCAGGTCTCTCTCCCAGCTCTTCCAGCTCTGCAGAGACCCTCTACCTAGATCTCCTTGCCAGCTCTTTCCTAGAAGTGAAGCGAGCATCCACCCCCAGGTCTGCTCTCCCTGCAGCCTCCTCTGATTGCCCTCATATCCTGCAGCAGGCCTCGTACACCCCATCACATGACCCTTGTCTTCATTCCCTCCACCCAGGCAGGTGGGCTAAGATTGGCAGGGTCAGATCAAGATGAAAGGGTCAGATTGCCCTATGACGCTGTCCATACGGATGCCCATGAACCGTGCATCGCATGGGGCCACAAACATGGCAAATGGGGCAGCAGTTCAGAGCTCCAATGCATTTTATTAAGCACCATTCAGTCCATATTGGACCAGCTCCATGGTGGGGAGAGAAGATACCTTCATCAGCTCCGCTCCTGCCGGTGGCAAGGACAAATCCCGCTGAAAGTGAAACCAACCAGTGCCAGACTGTGGTTTCAAGGCCTGGGCAGGTGGGCTCAGAAGCTGAGGGGCAGGGGTCGGACCCTGATTTCCCCTGCCCCCATTGTGTCTCCATGATGGGGCAGGGTCCTGGGCAGGGCCTGCTGTCCCTCAGCTTCTTGTTGCCCCCTGATGGGCACATGGGTCCTACTCACCAAGCTCCCACGTGGGCAGCCTTATCCGGGAACCAAGTCCACCCCACTTAGCCCCCAGCACTTGTCTGATCCACGAGGAGCCCCGCAATGGCCAGACCGGAGCAGCCCACTGCCCCAGCTACTTCAGGATCCCGTCCCTGGTGGGGGCCACAAGCTGCCACCTCAGAGGAAGGTGCAAATTCTGCCCCCCAAGGCTGGTAACTACCCAGCTGAGGACACTCACCTCCAGCTGCAGCTTGGGTTGGGACAACGTTCCGCATGACAGGCAGCTACTTCCTCCCTGGACGCCCAGGATGATGGGGTACTGTTTGCCCTGTACGAACCGGTTAGGCACCACACTGAGTTTCTCTGCAGGTGGAACATGAGAGGGCTCAGGTCTCTAGACTGCCAAGAGTCACTTTTCCACAGGGGCACTCAGATGCCAGCGAGAGGCAGCATTAATTCACCCCCCCAGGGAGCAACCATGCAGGCAGCCCTTGAACCACAGACCTGGCCCCCTTGTGCCCCAGCCTGGCTCCTGCTCTGCATTGAGCTCCCTTTCAGAATCCGCTGGGCTGGGGAGAGCGAGAGATTCAGTACACAGATTTCCTCCTCGCCAGGCACCACCCCGGAGAGGGCAACACGGCCCTCAACTCCTCTCTGCCTCGGCTGGGGGAAAGCAGCAGGACAGCCAGCAAGAGTGGGAAATGAGAGGGAGCATGGAGCTCACCAGGGTCTGAGTTGGAGGCCTCGGCCACAAGATTGTTGCTCTGCAAGCGAATGACCTTCTGCTTGGCGTCACGCAGGGTGAAGATGAACGGCATGGGGAGGTCCAGAGGATTGGGAACACCATCTTCTGGATGATCGGGAAAGGCAAAATGTTAATGCAGGATCTTTAACAGTAGAAATTCTCCTATGGTGACGAGGACATCCGTCCTAAAGGGATCTGCCCCCCCCACCCCCCCGACAGCCCCATAGCTCCTTGCACTCATAGAATATCAGGGTTGGAAGGGACCTCAGGGTCATCCCCTCCTCCCCTTCATTGCCCTGCAATGTCATAGCTCCCGGCACCCCATGACCCCTCAGTGTGAATGGTGAATTCAGCTCCTTCCCTCTTAACTTGTCCCCTATAAACTATCCCAGGGTGAGCTCCTTCAAGGAAGCAGGTAACTGTGCGGGGCTTGCTGCTGCCCCTGCATCCGGTCCCCTGGGCTGTGCTCCAATGATACAGACTGGACTCTAAGAAATTGCATCTCTCTTTTCATGAGAGTCCGCTCCCCGGGAAGGATCTGGAAACTGGAGTTTTCCCCTGACATATGACCATAAAGCGAGCTGCTAGATCCCAGGGGAGATGGTTTAGACTGCACATAATTCAGGGCATGGCCCTGGGGCCAGATTCTGTTCTCAGGGATGCTGCTGTAAACTGGGGGTGCAAGCAGAGATACTGGAACAATTGTATAGTGGGGGTGCTGAGATCCATTGAACTATACTGTAAACCAGGGGGTGCAGCAGCACCCCCACACTCCTAGTTCCAGCACCTATCGGTGCAAGGCTTGTCATCTGACCCTGCCACGCCCCTCTTCAGCACTGGGCTGAGGACAAGAGTGAGCAGGAATTCGGCCGATGAGAAGGCACAAGAGGGGGTTTTGCCAGGGAGCCCTCTCAGGCCCTGAGGTTCTCCTTTATCTGGACCCCATGCCCAGAGACCCACCTTTCTTAATGAATGTGTTGAACAAATCCCTCATGTCTTTGTCCTGATTCCCACAGGGTCCACTCGGCCGTCTCCCTGTCCCTGCTCCTGGCTGGGATGCCATTGTGGTGGACGTGTGCCTGGTGTCTGTCGTGTCCTGGCGGGAGCGGGGTGGCTGGGAAGGACAGATGGACACGAGCTCTCAGGCAGGCTGGTCCCATAGGGGGAGTCCCATTGGCCCTGCTGAGCCAAGTTCCCCCCGGGGGGGGGAGAAGGTCAGGGCCCATCTTTGGCCCACAGCCCCCTTCAGATCTTGGTAGCCAGCAGCACATAGCATGGGGTGTGGGAGTAAGCGCCATCTGCCGAGCAATCTGATTGGCTTGGATCTTGGTGGGCAGCCAATCAAGGCTCGTTCCCCATCTCACCCTCCTTGGCCCAGCTCCGGGGCAGCTCCCCATGGAATCGCCAAAGGGGCCGCCAGCCCCGTGGCCGCAGCAGGAGGAAGGGCATGGACCAGCCACTGGCAATGCTGCCAGGGGTGGGATGCTTCCTCACTAGGGCCTGGCCCCAGGACGCAGCTGTGGGGACTATGGGCGGTGACCCCTCTCTGCACCGACAGGGCTCAGCCAGCCCAGGATGCCCTATGTAGCAGGATCCAGGCCTCACAGTGCCTGTTAGCTGCTGGCGGGATGTGCTGGGCAAAGGGTGTTTCTCCAGCCAGGCCAGAGCCAGGGAATGAGACAGACACCAGGGTCAGTTAGTAACTGACCCCCCCTTAACCTAATAGGCCACTGGCAATCCCGCCCCTCACTGCTCTGCCCAGGACAGGTCCCTGGGGGTAGAGCCAGGGAACAGCCTCTGCAAAGCAGGCCCCAGAGTGGGTCCAGGAGGCCAGGCTGGGTCCCCACCAGGAGGCTGTGCCCCTTTGGAACCCACTATGGCCAGCGCTCTGCGTATCCGGCTGCCCCTGACCCTGGGCGGGGTGACATGAGCACAGATCAGTACTGTGTGTGTGGAGGCCGATCCTGCCGCTGAGACTGGGCCCTCAGGGTAACTGGGGAAAGAACAAGGAGCTGTGAAATTTCTCTTTCTTGGGGGAGCTGAGGGTCTCAGACATGGGAGCAGCATCTGCCTCACTCCCCATTTACACCTTGGTATGAAATTACTGTCAGAGATTATGAGCGCAGACACTCTGCTGCCCTCCCAGCCCCCCTCCAGGCCCACTGACCCCTGCTCTGCTAGTTTGGCTGCTCTTCTATGATGGGGACAGGGGAAGATCTGATCAGTTCTGGAATTTAGTACCCAGAAGTGCCTTCATTTCTTCAACCCTCTGTCTCCCATAAATAGCGTCTCTACCTTGCATTGTCTCTTTCTCAAGGTGTGATGTATATGATGGTGGTGGTGTAGTAACATACGCCCCCCCACCCCCCGCCCAGAGGTACAGCCGCACCAGAGTTTATATCCACATCTGCTGTGTTAATATTGCAAAACGCCTCAATGGATGCAGCATTTCTTGCCAGAGTCACAGAGTCTAAAGTGCTGCTGTCTCCTAAAAGCATTGTCCATACGATGGGAACAGACTTACCTGGAGACTGTCCTCAGATCCGTTGGTTTTGTAAGATCTCTTGGCAGGGCTGATTCTGAAAAGGAAAGAGAGAAAGAGAGAATTGTTTCTTTATGCTTCCCCATCTGTCTGTACCCACCTGCTCTTACTTGGCTTATCCTTAGATTATCAACTCTTTGGGTTCTGTGTCTGTACAGTGCCTAGCACAGCAGGAGACTTGGCCATGACTAGTGCTCCTAGGTGCTACCACAATATAAATAAAATAATAGAAAAGCATCCAGAGGACAAGCACAGTAACAAGCAAAGCTAGAGGAAGGGCCAAAGCCATCTTGGGTGTTGCTGAAGGCCCAGGGGCTAGCAGTGGAGGGAGTATTCCCAGCAGCAGACCTGTCAACAGCAAAACCTGTTGGGTGTCTAGTGTCCTTCTGTCACATGCAGGCTCAGGCTGAGTTCTCTGTAGCAATCACCCAGCTATTTATAGTGGGAGGAACGGGGAGGGGTGGTTCTCATGAGAATGACTTCAACATGCAAATAACCCACGCATTAGGATTTCCAGCATGGATAAAAGATCCTTCTGGACAAACCGGCGGAGTAGTTGAAAAGAGCCAGGTACCAACTCATCCAGGAGACTCCTTCTGCAGACCCCCAACCAGGCTGGCTTCCAACAGCAGATGTCCTATTGTAGCTAATCAGCCACAGATAACTCAATGTAGCCCACTGGTGGGAGCACTAGGTCTGAGCATGCTGAGATGCACCAAGTGCCCACAAGCACATGGACAATGTGCTGTTCACACGCTCAGGGAGGGGGCCCTACTCTGCTCTCATTTACTCCAGTGTAGATCCAGAGTAACTGCATTGAGGGCCCAATCCAGTGACCAGTATTCAATGGCATTATGTCCACTGGCCCAGTGAAGAACACGACAATCGCAGCATCAAGTCCGGAGGGCACTTGTCTCCTTTGGTTGTTTAGTAATTGTTCCTCCCGACTCGGTTCCCTATTGCTTGCTGAGCTTGGCAGGCCCAGAACTCCTGTAGTTGTCCCAGCAGCAGCAAAGCTGCAATCATGTAACCACCGGACTTGGAGCTTGGACTAGGAGATGCCATGGGGAGTCTCTGGTGCAGGTGTGTAACCCACTGGTGAGTGCGTGTTCCAAGGCACCTCCATGCCTGATCCATAGAGGAGAGGAGCCTGGTATGGCCCCAGCAAAGACACGAGGCTATGCCAGGTCGGAAGGTCCCGAGGCGATGACAATTCCCCATAGAGGGTTACACTTGAGATTGGTCAGCGAGCTGGTATTTAATAGGGACTCACTGATTTGGTACAAGGCTAATTTTGTAATCAGAACATCTTGTGATACTAAATCAAATGCCTGCCAGAAGCTTGTTTTGTTAACACAGCTACATTTGTCAGCCCAATGTGTAATCTCATTGGGACCTGCTTTTCATGCTGACAGGTGTGCATTACCCTGCCATCTTGTAACTCTTTGTTCATTCAATTCTGGATCAGTCTGGGATGGACATCAGGCTAATCAGCCTCTAGTGACCCAAGTCACCCTATATAAATATTGGCCCATCATAAGCTTTATGAGGCCCTTCATGTGGGGAAGGGAAGAAACCCCCCTTCGTGGCTGTAGAAGCCCCACCCCCACCCCACCCCACCTGTCATGCTTGCTCTTTGAGCGGGGGCATGGCCAATGGATCTGTGCAGTCACAGCCACCACTGGGACCCTTCCCTGGCTGCCCCCCAAGCCTCTCTATGGCAAAGTGGATGAAGCCTCCTGGAGCAAAGAGCTGCAGCACGCAAGTGTGCAGACCCCCCCACCCCCGCCCTTCCCTTTACACAGTGGAACACCCAGGCTGCATTGAGCTCCAGGCCCAACCCCCACTCGTTCCAGTCCCCCCCTCCCTCCGTCATTTGCTCTCCCCCACCCTCACTTACTTTCACCAGGCCCAAGCCTGGTGAAGGCTCCAGCTGGGGGTGCGGGCTCTGTGGTGGGGCTGGGGATAAGGGGTTTGGGGTACAGAAGGGGGCTCAGGGCTGGGGCAGCGGGTTGGGGTGTGGTGTGTGTGTGGGCTGTGGGGTGGGGCCAGGGATTAGAGGTTTGGGGTGAAGGAGGGGGCTCAGGCTTGGGGCAGGGGCTTGGAGTGTTGGGGGGGTGCGGGCTCCGGGAGTTTGGGTGCAGGAGGGGACTCCGGGCTAGAGCAGGGGGTTGGGGTTCAGGAGGGAGTTTGGGATGCGGGATCCCGGTGGCGCTTACCCAGGAGGCAGCCACCAGGCCCCGCAGTGCAGCCCCTAGGCATATGGGCAACCAGGGAGGCTCTGCGTGCTTGTGCCCACAGGCGTCGCCCTCGCAGCTCCCTTTGGTTACAGTTCCCAGCCAATGGGAGCTGTAGAGCCAGCACTAGGGGTGGGGTCAGCATGCGAATCCTCCCTGGCCCCCCATGCACCTAGGGGCTGCAAGGACCTGGCAGCCACTTCTGGGAGCTGTGCAGAGCTAGGACAGGCGGGGAGCCTGCCTTAGACGCAAGCCCCTGCTGTGGCGCTGACCGGACTTTTAATGGCCCAGTTGACGGTGCCGACCGGAGCCACCAGGGTCCCTTTTTCTTATGAATTACACCTGATAGGACACGCACACAATTGCTGCGAATTACACCTGGTAGGACATGCACACCAGTGCTGCGAATTACACCTGGTAGGACACGCACACCAATGCTGCGAATTACACCTGGTAGGACACGCACACAAATGCTGCGAATTACACCTGGTAGGACACGCACACCAGTGCTGCGAATTACACCTGGTAGGACACGCACACCAATGCTGCGAATTACACCTGGTAGGACACGCACACAAATGCTGCGAATTACACCTGGTAGGACACGCACACCAGTGCTGCGAATTACACCTGGTAGGACACGCACACCAGTGCTGCGAATTACACCTGGTAGGACACGCACACCAATGCTGCGAATTACACCTGGTAGGACACGCACACCAATGCTGCGAATCCGTAACCCACCCCCCAGATACACCTGGTAGGACACGCACACCAATGCTGCGAATTACACCTGGTAGGACACGCACACAAATGCTGCGAATTACACCTGGTAGGACACGCACACCAATGTTGCGAATTACACCTGGTAGGACACGCACACCAGTGCTGCGAATTACACCTGGTAGGACACCCCTCTCCCCTGCACACTTCGAATTACACCTGGTAGGACACGCACACCAGTGCTGCGAATTACACCTGGTAGGACACGCACACCAATGCTGCGAATTACACCTGGTAGGACACACACACCAGTGCTGCGAATTACACCTGGTAGGACACGCACACAAATGCTGCGAATTACACCTGGTAGGACACGCACACAATTGCACCTGGTAGGACACGCACACCAGTGCTGCGAATTACACCTGGTAGGACACGCACACCAGTGCTGCGAATTACACCTGGTAGGACACGCACACCAGTGCTGCGAATTACACCTGGTAGGACACGCACACAAATGCTGCGAATTACACCTGGTAGGACACGCACACCAGTGCTGCGAATTACACCTGGTAGGACACGCACACAAATGCTGCGAATTACACCTGGTAGGACACGCACACCCTGAATTACACCTGGTAGGACACGCACACCAGTGCTGCGAATTACACCTGGTAGGACACCACACATGCTCTCACTGGTAAACGCACACCAGTGCTGCGAATTACACCTGGTAGGACACGCACACCAGTGCTGCGAATTACACCTGGTAGGAAACGCACACAAATGCTGCGAATTACACCTGGTAGGACACGCACACCAGTGCTGCGAATTACACCTGGTAGGAAACGCACACAAATGCTGCGAATTACACCTGGTAGGACACGCACACCAGTGCTGCGAATTACACCTGGTAGGACACGCACACCAGTGCTGCGAATTACACCTGGTAGGACACGCACACAAATGCTGCGAATTACACCTGGTAGGACACGCACACCAGTGCTGCGAATTACACCTGGTAGGACACGCACACAAATGCTGCGAATTACACCTGGTAGGACACGCACACCAGTGCTGCGAATTACACCTGGTAGGACACGCACACCAGTGCTGCGAATTACACCTGGTAGGACACGCACACCAGTGCTGCGAATTACACCTGGTAGGAAACGCACACAAATGCTGCGAATTACACCTGGTAGGACACGCACACCAGTGCTGCGAATTACACCTGGTAGGACACGCACACCAGTGCTGCGAATTACACCTGGTAGGACACGCACACCAGTGCTGCGAATTACACCTGGTAGGACACGCACACAAATGCTGCGAATTACACCTGGTAGGACACGCACACCAGTGCTGCGAATTACACCTGGTAGGACACGCACACCAGTGCTGCGAATTACACCTGGTAGGACACGCACACCAGTGCTGCGAATTACACCTGGTAGGACACGCACACCAATGCTGCGAATTACACCTGGTAGGACACGCACACCAATGCTGCGAATTACACCTGGTAGGACATGCACACCAGTGCGAATTACACCTGGTAGGACACGCACACAAATGCTGCGAATTACACCTGGTAGGACACGCACACCAGTGCTGCGAATTACACCTGGTAGGACACGCACACCAGTGCTGCGAATTACACCTGGTAGGACACGCACACCAATGCTGCGAATTATACCTGACAGGTCATGCACAGTTCGAATCTAGGCTGAGGCACATAAACAAAGTCCACAACTGCAGAGTTCCCAAAGATACTAAGTTTATTACACTCGAGCGTGGTGCCTCCCTGCTAGCCAGGAGGGGACCCTGAATACAGATTATACAAAGGTTATATACTTTTTAGCAAAGCATGTTGCCTTCGTGCATTGGAAACCTTAGCCAATAAACAAACCCTTGTCTTATCTACCACCTATCCCTGCTTGGTGCATTCCTCGTGCTAAACCAGTATGTTAATTACACAGCATGGTCCTAAAGCCATGCATCAGTAACCTTTATTATTAGGATGGGAGGCCTCACATCAAGGCCAAGAGACAGGGAGTTAGAGACTGACAAAAACCAGATACTGGGAGTCAAGGCAGGCTGGAGACATGGAGGAGGATTTTCACAGGGATTCAGTATCTAAGGATCACTCCTCCTGGTGTATGATGTGCTGGCATTTAAACAATGGTGGGCCCCAAACCAAAATGGAGTCACATGTGCTAACTTTTTCTTAACATTTTCGACTGGGCGTTCAGGTCAAAAACCAGACATCTGGCAACCCTATTCCCAACAGCAACTCTGAGCAGCTGGCCCCTCCCATGTGTTTGTCATCTTCCTCGTTGCTGCGGAAGGCAGGACGGAGCAGAGTCTACGCAACATGAACAATGCAGGGCGTGAAGGGGAGACCAGCCCACTAACTCAATCTCCTTGCTCAAGTTAAACTGGTGCAATGATAATCATATAAAGAGTTGTAAACACTTGGCCTGCCTGAGTGTGCTTCACTTCCTTAGCAGTCAGGATTCAATGAGTTTCCTACTCATCCTTAGAGTCATCCTGGACAGGGCGAGGCCTGAATTTTGTCATCTGCCTCTGAACTTCGCAGTGGAGAATCAAACACAAAACACCTGCAAAACAAACACCTCTCAGGTCTTCACCTACCGCAAAGGAGCCAAAGCCACATTTTTTAACATTGCAGGTCACCCAGAAGCTCCCTCTAGTGTTTGCCTCCCTGTGCTGCATTTGCTCCCTCCTGCTTTAGTCCATTGCCATGAGCCTGGATATGTTTCCTCATCGTTGTGATTCAGCCATGCTGAGAGACCCCCTGCGACCCTAGGCAGCGGGGACCGGGCCCAGTTGGCTCTGGCAGTGCATGGAGATTCCCAGGTGGCACCAGCACCTCTCACACACCTGTCTCTCCAGTTTGTTTCTTTGTCCTTTTTGTTTGGTTTATTGACAGGTGTAAATAGTCCCCTCCTGCCTGCCCTCCAGCCTGGAAGCATCACTCACCTCTGCCAAAGGATGCCACACACAAGGTGGGCTCCCAACCAGCGCCCCTCAGTCCCCTCAGTCCCTTCGGTTTTGCTCCTCGGATGCAGCTGGGGAGCGGATAGAGTTGGCCCATGACTCACACTTCTGCTTATTGTTTCCTGCCTGGTTCTGTGACTCACGGGGATCCTTTGCGGACGGCTGAGAACTGTCCAGGCTCTCTGCTCAGCATCCTCCTTCGGCGCCTTCCTTTGGATCTCCACCACCGTCAGTTTTTGTCCCCCAGAACCTGTTGTTTTCTGGGTCTTACAGAGGGGTCAGTTGAGGGGGTGGGTCTTGAGTTCTGGACGGGCCAAGGATTCATATAGGCCTGTCTGGTTCTGCTCTGACCTGTGCCAGGTGATCTTTGGTGCTGGGTAAATGACAGATGTTTGCTCTGTTAACTGGCCCTTTCCTGTGCTGCGAATCTGTTCCCCAGCTGTCCCATGCTCACCTGCGGCATTTACAGAGCTAAAAGATTTTCATTCTACTCCCATTAGCTCTGCAGAAACCAACCCTGACCCGGATGAGGGGGCTGACATGCAGCCTGGTTTGCGCATCAACAACAGTCGTTCCAGGTGTGGGAATCTTTCTGGGGGTTGATGCATGGGCCAGGAAGAGCCCCACTTAGCTCTCAGATCCCAGGGTAGGTTGGCAGGGAGCTTTGACCTGGAGGCACAATAAACATGGAGCCCATGAGCCTCTTCTGACTGTCACTTTTCAGCACAGAGCCGCTCTTTAACTGCCAGTGCAGCTGAATCTCTCGCTCAGTTGCCCAACACCAGCTGGGTCTTGACAGTTTGCCTGCACTGACTCAGCTTGTGGCAGTTCCTCTTGCAGACCTACAGCTAGTTGTAGCAGTTCATCGTAAATGCTCTGCTGGAAGTTGCTCAGGTCTGGCACAAAGGCAAGTGGTGTTGTCTGGTTAGTCTCCCACCCCCCCCCTTTTTTTTTTAGCACTAGTGGATCCATGTTGTGCAGCAAATATCTCCACTGGCCATAGATGGGACACTAGATGGGGAGGGCTCTTAGTTACTAGAGAGAATTCTTTCCCAGGTGTCTGGCTGGTGGGTCTTACCCACATGCTCAGGGTCGAACCGATTGCCAGATTTGGGTCAGGAAGGAATTTCCCCCGGGTCAGATTGGCAGAGACCCTAGGGAGGTTTCGCCTTCCTCTGCAGCGTGGGGCCCAGGTCACTTGCAGGTTTAAACTAGTGGAAATGGAGGATTCTCTGTAACTTGGGTTCTTTAAACTATGAGTTTAGGACGTCAGTCACTCAGCCAGAGGTTCAGGGTCTGTTACAGGAGGGAGTGGGTGCAGTTCTGTGGCCTGCAATGTGCAGGAGGTCAGACTAGACGATCAGGATGGTCCATTCTGACCGTAAAGTCTATGAGTCTACCAGAGCCAGGATCAACACAGAAGCCCGGATCCAAACACTCCAGGCTCTGAGAACGTTTGGAATCTGGATCAGAAGGCAGTAGCTCAAACACTTTGGTTACCAGCTGCTCCTGACTGAGGCATACGGTGTAGGGAATCCAACACACGTCGCAGCCACATGCAGTCCATGTGTGAGAGCCATGTCTCTCTGCTGGCATTGTCCCAGGCACCTCATCCGGCATGCAGGGCTGGGCTAATGAGTGTGAAAGGGAGGAAACGAGATGACACAAGGTGAGTCAAACAAGGCTCAACCCAGAGGTTGCAAAAGAGGTTACAGGAAGCAAGGGGACGAGGCACTGCCCCAGGCCCTGCTCCCTGACTAACAATAATTGCTCTGAATTTCCTCCATTGCTACTTGAGTGACATCTGCTTAGAGAAAAAAGAAAAGGAGGACTTGTGGCACCTTAGAGACTAACACATTTATTTGAGCATAAGCTTTCGTGAGCTGCATCCGATGAAGTGAGCTGTAGCTCACGAAAGCTTAGGCTCAAATAAATGTGTTAGTCTCTAAGGTGCCACAAGTCCTCCTTTTCTTTTTGCGAATACAGACTAACACGGCTGTTACTCTGAAACCTGCTTAGCGAAGTGTGAGCGAGTCAGAATGGCTTCCCCTCGTGTGCTAACATGACCCTATATATCCTTCCCCACTGCCGGGTCTCTTCTCCTTGAGGGCAGGACAAGTCTAGCATTATTTCTATCCAACACAATCTCCGTCACCTGACCCTCACCCCCCACCAGTGTCTGAAAGACAAGGAAGGAAGGAAAAAAGTGATGGGGCCATGGCTCCCTAACCCGCCCCCCCCGTTCTGGTGCCCCTGCCTTGCGTAATATCAGTACTGCACCCACCTGCCCAGCCTTACCTGTTCCAGTGCTTTGCTGATTCGTTATCCTCACCTCTGGCTTTCTTGTGCCCAAACGCAGACTGTAACCTCGTCAGGGCAGGTCGCTGCCCGCACCCAGCCCAGCGCACTCAGCAGTGCGCACACCAAATGGGGTGCAGTTCAGGATCCCTGACACTAGGCCCACCTGCTAGAGAGGAATGACAACAGATGTGTGAGCCCAGATCCTCAGATCCTCTGCAGAGCTGGGCCATAGAGTCTAAGGCCAGAAGGGACCATAGTGGTCATCTAGTCATCTGTCAACTGTCAACAAAATTGATAGGGCAACAAAAATGATTAGGGGTCTGGAACACATGACTTATGAGGAGAGGCTGAGGGAGCTGGGATTGTTTAGCCTGCAGAAGAGAAGAATGAGGGGGGATTTGATAGCTGCTTTCAACTACCTGAAAGGGGGTTCCAAAGAGGATGGCTCTAGACTGTTCTCAATGGTAGCAGATGACAGAACGAGGAGTAATGGTCTCAAGTTGCAGTGGGGGAGGTTTAGATTGGATATTAGGAAAAACTTTTTCACTAAGAGGATGGTGAAACACTGGAATGCGTTACCTAGGGAGGTGGTAGAATCTCCTTCCTTAGAGGTTTTTAAGGTCAGGCTTGACAAAGCCCTGGCTGGGATGATTTAACTGGGAATTGGTCCTGCTTCGAGCAGGGGGTTGGACTAGATGACCTTCTGGGGTCCCTTCCAACCCTGATATTCTATGATTCTATGATTCTATGATTCAACTGTTTGAAATGGGATACCTTGTTTACATTGGCCTCATTAACACTAAAAAAGTGATTTGCACTCCTTCTTGTCAACTGTTGAGAATTGCCTACTTCCAACTTAAATTGAATTAGCTCGTTAGCACAGACCCCCCACTTGGTAAGGCAACTCCCATCTTTTCATATGCTGTGTATTTATACCTCCCTACTGAATGTTCCACTCCATCCATCTGATGAAGTGGGTTTTAGCCCATGAAAGCTTATGCCCAAATACATTTGTTAGTCTCTAAAGTTCCACAAGGACTCCTCGTTGTTTTTGCTGATACAGACTAACACGGCTACCACTCTGAAACTAGTCCGATCTCCTGCACAACACAGGCCAGAGAACTGCCCTGCATTACTTCCTGCATGACCTTGAGCCGATCTGTTGGAAAAACATCCCAGCTTGAGTTAGAAATGATCCATGATGGAGCCTCCACCCCAGCCCTCGGTAAATTATTCTTGTGCGGAATTGCTCTCACTTTTAAAGATCTGCACCGTGTTCCCAGTCTGAATTTGTCTAGCTTCACTCCGCTCATTAGGCCTTTGGCTGCTAGAGGGGGGTCACCAGATCAGATTCATCGCCAGCTGCAAGTGAGTGACAGAAGCCTCGTGGAGGCAAACGCAGAGCAAATGAGGGCTGATCTTAGATGAGATTGTCATTCTTCAGGGCAGGGGCTATGGTTTTGTCCTGGGTTTGTACAGTGCTGGCGCAATGGGGGTCCTGGTCCAGAACGGGGGCTGCTGGTCAGTCCAGCAATCCAGGTAATCAATAAGAGGTACGGTTATGCCTGTGCAAATTAAGAAGGATTTAGTGTTACTGACACCAACTCAGCATCGTCCCTTACCGGGGGGCTGGAACAATGTGTACAGTGGGGGTGCTGAGAGCCATTGAACCAAACTGTAAACCCTGGATATGATGGAAACCACTTCAAGCCAGGGGGTGCTGCACCCCTAATTCCAGCACCTCTGCTCCTCACTAAACCATCTCACAGCTGGCCAGCGAGAGCTGCTGAGTGTGCAGACCAATAGCTCTGTGCTGGAGGTGCATGCTCAATCCACTTCCCCTTCAAAGTGTTGCCTCATTGGGTTTCCCCTCTTATTTACTGAATCCCCTCACTCATCAGTTTCAGTGACTGCCGGTATAAATCATAGAAATGCTGGGCAGGAAAGGCTCTCGACAGGACTTCTATGATTCTATAATCTAGTCCAATCCCCTGCACTCAGGCAGGAGCAAGTAAACTAAGACCAGCCCTGCCAGGGGTTTGTCCAGCCTGTTCTTAAAAACCTCCAGTGACGGGGATTCCACAACCTCCCTTTGGAGCCTGGTCCAGAGCCTTAGAGATAGACAAAAAGAAAAGGAGTACTTGTGGCACCTTAGAGACTAACCAATTTATTTGAGCATGAGCTTTCGTGAGCTACAGCTCACTTCATCAGATGTTGAAGGATCATCTGATGAAGTGAGCTGTAGCTCACGAAAGCTCATGCTCAAATAAATTGGTTAGTCTCTAAGGTGCCACAAGTACTCCTTTTCTTTTTGCGAATACAGACTAACATGGCTGTTCCTCTGAAACCTGTCCTTAGAGATAGACAGTTTTTCCTGCTATCTAACCTAAATCTCCCTTGCTGCAGATTAAGCACATTGCGTCTTGTCCTACCTTCAGTGGACATGGAGAACATTTGATCACAGACCTCACCAGTGCCAAGTAGAGTGGGACAGTTACCTGCAGTGTCTTACCTACAACAGTCCTGCTTATTCACCTCAGAATGGTATTAGCCTTTTTCACAACTGCATCACAGTGTTCGCTCATATTCAATTTATGAACTACAACCCCCAGGTCCTTTGCATCAGGACTACCACCTACACTGTTATTCCCCATTTTGTAGGTGTGCATTTGATTTTTTTCCTTCCTAAATGTAGTTCTTTATTGAATTTCATTAAATTGATTTCAGACCAATTCTCCAATTTGTCAAGGTTGTTTTGAATTCTAATCCTGCCTTCCAAAGTGCTTGCAACCCTTCCCAGCTTGGTG